TCCATCCACCCACCCACCCACCCACACATCTATCTGGTCATCCATCTATCCACCCATCCATCCAAGGGGAAATTTAAAGGATTAACCCTAGAGGTTAAATAGATGGCTGCATAGATAGATATTTGAGTCTGGGTATCACTTAGGACATGGTATATTATGGACTGAATGTTTGTGTCCCCACTAAATTCATATGTTGAAGCCCCAATCTCCAATATGACTGTATTTGGAGACAGGGCCTGTGAGAAAGTGATAAAGGTTAAATGAGGTCATAAGGGTGGTTCCCTAATAATAATAAGAAGAGACACCAGAGCTCTCTCTGCCATGTGAGGACACAGCAAGAAGGCAGAAATCTACAAGTCAGGAAGAGAGCTCTCACCATGAACCGGATTGGCCGGCATCTTGACCTGGGACGTCCTGCCTCCAGAACTGGGAGAAAATAAGTTTCTATTGTTTAAGCTGCCCAGTCTGTGGTATTTGTTATGGCAGCCCAAGCTGACTGAGACATGGTATTTTTAGTGTTTGCCACATTTCCTGTATTCAGCAGGCTAAGTCAATCCCTCATTTCATTAATTCTGCTTTAGTAGAGGCATCCACGGAATCTGTCATGAAATAACCTGCACTTCTCTCCTGAGTTAAAAACACGCAACAATCCAGCATGCACTGGGTGAGCCTGCACCAGAGAGACCACTTACGTTAATCCTTCCTGGAGGTACGGGCCCTGACCTTGTCCCTTCTTCCTCAGCTCACAGAAAGGGTGGCCGGCAAAGGAGGTCGGCACTCTCTCTCTGTGGAGGCCTAGACAGTAAGTCATCTGGGCTTTGGGGGCCACGCAGCCTCAGTTGCAGCTACTCTACTCTGTCGTTCTAGGTTGAGAGTGGCCACAGGCGTGGCAGCAAATGAGGCTGGTCCAATGAAACTTTATTTATGAACACAGATTGGCATTTCCTATCATTGTAATGTGTTACAGATTATCCTCCTTCTTTTGATTTTTCCCCAAACATTTAGAAGTGTAAAACCATTCTTAGCTTGCAGGTGGTACAGAAACAGATGGCAGGCCAGGCTCGGCCCATAGCCATAGTTTGCTACCCCAGCACAGCCCGAAGAGCCATTCTCAGAGCGGCTGTGCCTATCTTGGCTGATGGGACCTGCTACCTAGGGGTCTCCGAGTCCAGCTTCTAGGAAATTCATTGTAATGACCAAGCGTCCTGCCTGCCCGCCCTCGGTGTCTTGGGGCCGAGACTGAAATGTGCAAGCATGCCTGGGCCCTGATGGAGTGCAGTGTGTAAACATGTTTGGGCTTGGGGACAGCCTCCTGTAGCTACACCCCCACTACTCCCACCCTTTCTGGAAGGAGGTTCCAGGTGTTGGAAGACGGGAACATGCAGGCTGGGGATACCTGGCACCTGGACACAGACAGCCCAGGGGCAAAGGGGGCTGTGCGGGCTCTGTTAGCATGGGTCCCTCTGAGACAGCCCCTTCCCACTCCATTCCCCCCACCATATGTTGCCAGCGTCCTCTCCCAAAGGACAAATGCCCTCCAGGTCATGGAGGGAGACTGCCGGCACCATCAGTCTCCCTGGCCAGTCAGTCCAGAACCTTCTTAACTGGACCCTGCCCACCTCCTTGGCCTCTCTTCTCCCTGGTCACATTGAACTTCTCCTGAGGCTTCGAGGTGCCAGGTCCTGGCTTCCGTCCCTCCTCTGGGCACCCAGCGGCCCTCCAATACACTCCCTTTCGCTTAAGAAAGTAGGAGTTGTTTTCCGTTGCTTGTACCTAGGATGCTGAATGAAGGTGTGAGGACCCCAAAATTGGAACACTCTTTTACCTTTTTAAATTCTGCCCTTGAAATTAGGGTCTTAAGCTTCCCCTGGTCATTATGAAGTTTCGAAAAAGAGTTGACACCCTTCTTCCCCAAATTCAGGGCCCTCCTGGTGCTGAATCCCCCTGATCCTTCTGCTCCTGGTGAAAAGTTAGGACTGGGGCTAGAGCCCGGAAGGCCAAGCTGGGAGCCCAGCCCCTCATCTGTAATGAGGGGACAAGACCACCTCCTCCCCAAAGGCAGTCTCAGGGTGCCTGCGAGGACTGACAGAGATGAGCCACCGAAGTCCCTGTACAGTGCTCGGGACACAGTAAATGCAGCCACTGTTGGCTCTGAGCCACTGAGCACCTTCAGAGCACTTTTGTGATGCTGCTGAGGTTGGCCGAGAGGTGTGGGAGAGGAGCCGCCATCTCTGCTCAGATGAGAGGTCTCTGTGCCACCTCACCCACCTTGGTTCTGCCCTGGGTTCACCATGACGAAGACTTACGGAGTGTTGGATGATCCGTGGCGACTCCAGGGCCGGTGGGGGTGGGGAGGCTGCGGGGTAGATTCCCATGGGGGGCACTTCTGGGGGCAGCCCTGACCCCTGGGCTCCTCTGTTCACCCCCCTCCAGGCGTGGGCGCGGGAGAGCTCTTCCAGGAGGTGATGTTCCTGCAACGCCAATGCAGAGCCTGCTGCACCGAGCGGGGAGCCACAAACGCTCAGTGAGGAGGCCCGGGGAGGAGGCCCGGTGGGGAAGTGGCGTGTTCTGGGCTTGTCCTCCGCCTGCACGGCAGCGCCAACGTACAGACGTGTGCCCTCTGCGTGGGCGGCCTTCGGACTGGCCGTCACTAGTCTCCACTGGGCTCTCCTCCCGCCCCCACTCAAGGCGCGAGTGCAGTCCCTCTGGAATCAGAGCCCTGGAAAGCAAAGCCTGAAGGCCCCGCACGCGGGGCACAGGTGAGCATAACGCTTCTTTCCAAATTCACCAAATAACATGAACTAGCTCTGGGTGTTCTTTTTTTCCAGACAGCAGAGTATATTGTCTCCTTCCGACTTCCACATCTACTTTACTGCAAAGCACACGTTTCCATAACCATCCGTCTGGAATCACATGCATCGCGCACGGGCATTCCCTGCTGCTGGTGAGTTGAGTTCAGATGGAGCCCCTGAGCATTTCAGAATCCCACTTTCTGGGGGAACGGGGCCCTTTGCACAGCATTTCCACCTTGGATAATGTGCAACCAAAGCAGGTTTTTAGCTAGTAACACCCCTGCTAGAGCCCAGACTGCAGAAAGTGTGTGTGCCTGTTTGACTTTCCCCGTGAGGTCTGTGATCTGGGTGTGAGGCCTCGTAGCTGCTCACGATTCATGAATTATCCATCCACAAGTCACAAACATCAGAGAGCCAGCGCTGAGTCCAGAAAGACCCCCCACACACACACTGTGCCTCCTGTCTGAGCGCAGTGGCCAGTAGTTTCAGCCACAGAGATCTCGGGCCTAGGCTTGCTGTGACCCTGGGGCGCCTACCCAGAGTCTCTGCAGAAGGTCCTTCCTCCTCAGCAGAGCACTCTGCAGGGCTGCGGCCGGCCTGTCCTCGTCTCCTGGAGGGAAGCACGCAGTGAGGAACACTTCAAGTCTCATCACCGCAGACCCCATCAGAACGCCCCAACCTCACCCGCCCCGGCGCCGGGGGTGACCTGGGCTCAGGCTTCCTGTGAACCCCTGTCCCGGAGAAGGAGGGACAGTGCCTGGGGGGAGCGAGATCAGGGGCCACCCCATCGGGGGTTATGTGGGCCACAGGCGGGCACTCAGGGAGCCCCATCTTTGAGTTGGGGCCTGTCCAGTGGATCATCTTATTCCTGGAAAGGAGCTGGAAGTCACACAGCACAGATTCCTATCCGGGGCCCAGGTACCCCTTGCTCCTGCAGCACCCGTGGTAGAAAGCCCCTCAGGCTCTGCTGGATGCCAATGAAAGGAAGGAGGCCCTCACAGGGCTTGGTGGTGACCACAACCAGGTGGTGAGCCCAGTGGCCCCAAGCTGCCTGGAGGCTGGCGTGGTCTGCCAAGCCGCAGGTGATGCCATCTGCAGCATCCTTAGGTCCATGCCTCTCCGAGGAACGGGACCCCATTCGAGAGAAGGCTCTAGAAGGCGTCTGGCTCTGGCCTCCTTTCCTCTGGGCACAACAGGCCTGCCCCCCTCCACTGGGGGGTGCCCAGAGCAGCCTCACCTTGGAGGGTCCCCAGGAACACCTGCCCCCAGCCCACTTGCACTGCTCTGTGGTTCTGCTCACGCCTCTTGGGCAGGTGACCTGGTTTGGGATTTTCTATCTGGATTTGGGCCCAGGGCTCTGCCTGCTGCCCTCAGGAGCTGCCTGGAGCCCCCACAGCCCTAGGGGCTATCCCACATATTAAAGAACAAGCAATGCTCTGCAGGCCTCCCCAGCACCTTGCCCAGATGTCCCCGAATCCAGACCCTGTCACCGGGGAAAAGGGTCCCCTCTCCTGGTCCTATGGCCTGAGCATCTGACCACAGGCCAGGGTCAGCGGACGCACGGGGGTGTCTGGTCTGGACACCTGAAGATGGATGGAACGGGATGAGTCCCCCACATGCCCTCACCCCAGAGCAGGCTCAGGGCAACATGAGTCTAATCTGGATGTGGCCACTTCTGAGCTGGGCAACCTGGGGCAGATTATCAGACCTCTCTGTGCCTCCACTGTCTCATCTGCAAAGTGGGAATGAAGAATGTACTCCCTCTTGGGGTTTGCAGACTAAAGGTGACAAAGTATGAGGTGTGCCTAGCGGAGCACCTGGTGTGTGTGGGTGTGTGTGTGTGTTAAAGATGAAAACAACAGCCTTTCAGCTCTGAATGAAAAGAAGAGTCTTAAGGACAGTCTTGCTGTGACAGGAGGCAGGGAGGGACCTGAGCTGACGGGAGTGTCGTGCCTGCCTATAGGGCTCCATGCAGCCCGGGGCTCTTACCTGGCACGAGGCGAGGGTCCTCAGACTCCCCCTCCACGTTCTCACGCTCTTGCTCCAGTTTCTGTGAGGAAAAGAGGCCATGACGGGGACACGCACTCAGACACAGGCTCAGTGTGAGCGACTGGCTCAGAGGGTTCCGAGGGTTCTGAAGGGACCAGCGCCCCAGACAGAGGGGACTGGGAGCAGGAAGTGCTATGTGACGGAGGTCTGCGACAGGTGGCAAGGGTCACATACTCTCTTAGGGACCATGTGAGTCACGCTGTCCGTGCAACGCCCATACGTTGCACCTTGAAATCAAAGGCAGATGCTCTGAAGTGTATGGCCCCCTTCAGGCAGCTTTCTGAAGAGCTTGACTCAGTCCAGTTCTGTGGCCCTGACCACCCGGACCACCCTGACCACCCCTTCTGAGCCCTGGGCTGAGGAGCCATAGTCTGGGCCCAACCTGGGGTGACCCCTGCTGCCCCCTCCACGGGGAGCTTGGGGCTGCGGGGCATCAGAAGAGGAATAGAGCAGGCGCAGGGACATGGAGGAGCTGCTGCACTGGGTGGCTGTGAGGACGTCCGGTCCTGGGCCATGAAGACCCTCAGAGAAAGATAAGAAAACTGGTGTGGAAGGGCCAGCCCGGTGGTGCAGCGGTTAAGTGCGCGCGCTCCGCTTCGGGGGCCCAAGGTTCGCAGGTTCAGATCCCGGGCGCGCACGGATGCACGGCTTGTCAAGCCATGCTGTGGCGGCGTCCCATATAAAGTGGGGGAAGATGGGCACAGATGTTAGCCCAGGGCCAATCTTCCTCAGCAGAAAAAAAAAAAACGGGAGGATTGGCATTGGATGTTAGCTCAGGGCTGATCTTCCTCACCAAAAAAAACAAAACATAACAAAAACAAAAACAAAAGAAGACTGGTGTGGGGACGGGTCCATCAGGCCCAGCCTGCAAGGCTGTGGGCCCGGCACTGGGCAGGGTTCCCATCTTCCCTTAAACACTGAAGCCGCGTGGCTCTATGGTGGAGCTTCACGGGGCCCTGGGTCTGCTCTAGCCCCTGGGTGCGTGCCTGCCTCCTGGCTATAGAAACTGTGGGAAGAATCTACTGGGTTCTATGTAAATGCAGAGAAGAAAAGCCAAGAAACCACTGTCCTTCATTACAAGGCTAAAAACCACCACAAAGGTTTTGCTTTGGAAGCAGCAGTGTACTCACAGGTATAACATCTCACTTTTTGAAGCTGCACTCCCTAAACAAGTTAAAAACACAATTGCCCTGCTATCTTACCTTCTCCAAGAGTTTCAGCGTCAGTCGAGTCATCTGATCTGCCAGTGAGGAGTCCAGCATCCCAGGACCACAGGAGAGGGGATGCCCAAGCCCACCTCCCTCCCTGGTTCTCAGTGATCTGCAGGAAAGACCCGCTCAGCTACAAGGAGCAGCCCCAGCCCTGGTGTCATTGGAGGATTTCCACCCCTGGCTTGGTTCACCTCCTGGAGACTGGCCTCTGTGGGAGGGTTGCTACATCCCTCTGGACTGCAGAGCCTCTGCAGCCCACAAGTCATCACCTTGGCAGTTGCCAGGCGCCGCGGACACAGGGAGGCCCCAGGTTGCCAGGTTTCCACTGAGAGTCCTTCCTATGCCCCGCCTGCTCTCCAAAGGGGTTACCTGTAAACACTGCTGACTCCCAGGTATGCCAGGGGCTCACCAGGAAGGCAAAAGTGGCAGCAGCTGGTGCCAGAGGGCAGTGCGTGGCCCTGGGGAGGGGGGGACAGTCCAGACCCCTCATACACCACCCCACCCTCAGGACAGAGCCCAGAAGAGTGTGGGGTTGGAGGACAGGGCAGCTGCATCCATCCCCCATGTACTGCAGGGGCCTGCTGCCCCCTTACCCATTACCACCTCCGGGAGGCCATCAAGCCCCTCCCTAGGACCCTCAGAGCCAGATAGGAGTGAAGCCCGGACACCAAGGGGACAGGGTAGGAGCACCACCTCCCTGTGGATTTCAGGAAATTCTGTGCGGCAGCAGAGGTGGCGCCAAGGAGCTGGCCAATGTCTCGCCTAGGGACTTCTGGGTGGGGGTCACAGTGGCCCCCCACACAGGCACCTATCTGGCACCTCACAGGACACAGGGCCACCCGGGGCCACCACCCCTCCAGGAGGGGATGTGACTCCAGCGTTGGTACTGCCCTGCGGGGACCCCAGCCCCAGGGTGGGGATCCTGGTGGCCGAGGGACGGGGGCACCTGGGGGCGGGACCTCCAGCCAGGTCAGCACTCTGTCATGACCCACCTGAGGCCAGGGCTTGTCTGCAGGGCTGCAAGTAGGGAGGGGTGCGCCCAGCAAGGGAAGCCTTTTATAATTGGTGCTTCACACAGAGGCCAGGGCACAAACAGATAAAGGTCGCCCTTCATTTGCATGGGCTCTCCATTCCAGATTTACAAATCAGTCAGCCTGACTAATGAAGCGGATACAGCAGATTTGAAATTGGAACCCGTGCCTGCTGGTGGAGGTTGTGGGAGGAGCAGGGCAACAGCAGCTTACAGTCCCCTCCTCAATGCAACTGACCTAGAAACTTGCATCCAATGGCCCAAACCGGGCTAAAAGTCCCTTAAAGTGCCCATACACTTTAGTATTTATGGTTTTATTTGTATCATAATCCTAACATTCAAACAGGAGGTCTGAATGTGCACAAAAACTGGTTAGCTTAGCTAGGCAACTCAAGGTATCTAGGAGGTAATCCCAGTGGTAAACATAACACATCCCAGTGGGTATGAGTTTGTTAGAAAATTTTTTTTAAAAATTATTTTTTAGAACAGTTTTAGATTTACAGAACAATTGAGAAGATAGCACAGAGAATTCCCACACATGGCTTTGCCTATTATTAACATCTTGTATCAGTATGATACATTTGTTACAGTTGATGAGCCTATATTGATACATTATAATTAAAGTCCATACTTTATTTGATTTCCTTATTTTTTTTGCCTAATGTCCGTTTTCTGTTCCAGGAACCCATCCAGGACACTGTGTGACATTGAGTCATCATGTCTCCTTTGGATCCTCTAGCTTTTGATGACCTTGACAGTCTTAAGGAGGACTTGTCAGGTATTTTGTAGGGTGTCCCTCTACTATTGGGACTCATGATGGTTTCTCATGGCTGGACTGGAGTCGTGGGTGGTGGGAGGAAGACCACAGAGGTGAGGTGCTCTTCTCACCACATCACACCCAGGGTGCGTGCCGTCCACATGACCTGTCACTGTGGGTGTGGACGTGACCCCTGGTGGAGGGGTGTCTGTTAGGTGTCTCCACTCAGTGTCACTCTGTCCCTCCCCACACTATCCTCTGTGGAAGGGGGGTGCCATGCACAGCTTGTACTTAAGGAGTGGGGGGCTATGTTTCCCTCCTTGAGGATGAGTATCTACATAAATTTATTTGGACAGCTTTTTAGTTACTAAAAACAAATTAAGATGGGGCCAGCCCCACAACCTAGTTGTTGGGTTTGGTGCACTCTGCTTCAGTGGCCCGGGTTCAGTTCCCGTGCTCTGACCTACACCACTTGTCAGCCATGCTGTGGTGGCATCCCACACACAAAATGGAGGAAGATTGGCACAGACGTTAGCTCAGAGTGAATCTTCCTCAGCAAAAAATAAAATAAAATAAAATAAAAATAAATAAATAAATAAATAAAGACTCAGATCCAACATGTACAGAACCTGTCTAGAATGGCCATGGAAATGATTCTAAGGTTCTGAGGAATAGTTGGAAAACCACCGACCCAACCAGTGTAGGCAAACTGTGCACATGGGCCCCCAAGGAGTTTTAAATGTATTGCAACATGAAAAGGTTGAGAGATCTAGGCACAGATCTGGGTCTCTGACTGCTCTTGGAAAGTCTGGTCCTGTGGTCTGCAGGTGTTGCCTGCCTGACCCCTTGTCTTATGAGCCTCATGTTTGCTCAAACCACTCAATTCTGCCGGCCAAGACTGGAAACTCTACTCCCCACACAAACGGCTGTGGTCTGACTCTGGAGGAGGAGTGCTTTCTGGTGGAGGCAAGCTTCCAGCTCCCTGAAGGAGGTTTGTGTACACTGCGGTTGATTAGAATCACAGTTTCTCACTGAGGTTGAAAGATGAGCTTGTGTCGGCATGGTGTCACTATGGCTTGTTAATGGAAGGGCATCATCGCTGCCATTATTCAATCTCAGAGCACATGGCCTGCACACAAACCCTGTTCAGGGAGAGGCCCAGGAGTAGTGAATGGAAGAGAAGGAAACCCAGAAACCACGGAGCGTTTGCTTCGATGAGCCCTGCACAATCACGCTTTTTATGCTGCCTTCTCTCCAGCTGCAGGGTACCTGAAGTGCTGCCATCCTGCCCAGCTCTCCAACGTCCCAGACTGTAGAGGGCCAAGTTTCAGGGGTGTTGACACTTCTCACACAGGGAAATCGAGGCACAGCTGTTCAGGGGTTTCCCGGGTCTCTTCCCGTGTTTGCGGATCCCACCTGTCCTTGGCATCTGCCTGGACTCTGATTTCCTAATTCCGCAACTGAAATGTGGTGCTATTCCATTTACAGACTCGAACCTGGGGGTTTTACTTTTGTTGGGGAAGAGGGAGAATCCCCCTCCATCCTTTCCCTTAAGGTTCTTATGGCTGGCCAAATAATTAAAAGACAGGTTAGCAAGAGAAAATAATACCAAGTTTAATAATATTTATACAAGGGAGAAACCAGGGAAACTGAGTTTCTCAACAAAATGGCAGAGATTCTCATCTTAAATACTGTCTTCAGCGAAAGACAAAGGAGGATGTTGGGGGAGGGGGGAGTCAGTTATGGGAGATTACCAGAAAAGCACAGTAAACAAGAGTAAGGTTATTACCCAGATTTAAGGTCTCACCTTCCACATTGATAAGTTTCTAGAGATAAGGTCATCTCCCCTCTTCCCAGTACAGAGAGGGAAATACCTTTACAAACAGAGATTTCCCTTATAAACGTTAATGTTTGTCTGGCAACTCTTTTCAGGGCCACCTAGAGAATGCGGCCAGGAAGAGACAGAATTTTTGATAAGAGGGTCTTGGTGCCTTTCCTATTGTAACATCTATTTTGCATTATATTACAGCCATCATATGACAGTGGCTCCTTCCTGAAACAGGTCTTCTATGTTAAATTCTTTAGGCAGTTTGGGGAAGGTCAAATGTCCGTCAGAGAAAATAATCAAGGTAAGGAGACACATTTAAGGGTGGCCAATTTTGATCTCCCACACTTTCATTTTCCTTTTGATGGTAAATGGGATGCTACCAACAGTGATGAGAAAAGGTAAAATGAGACCAAGAATGTTAAGCACATTTAGGTAAACAAGATCAACATTTGGTGAGAGCATCATGGCCCCCCCAGGTGCCCACCTGTAACCCAGATACAGTTACACTAGAGTCACAAAAGGTGCAGGCAGGACGCTTGGGTTAACGTCAATTAGTCAGAGCTTATCAGCTTCCAATGAGCTTGGTTACACAGAAAGCATTTGATTGTTAACCTAAACCAACTGTAGGCTAGGAAAAAACTCAGCACTGTTTCCTTATCTGGACAAACAGGTTCAAGTGAAGTTTGAAGCTAAGCAACAAACAATGATTTCATGAGACTTCAGATTCCCACACAGACCATGAATTTATAACCAAAGTCACATTTAAAAAAAAAAAATTTTCAAGACTGTATTTTTTAGAGCAGTTTTAGGTTCACAGCAAAATTGAGCAGCAAGTACAGCACATTCCTTTTTAATAACTATTTACAATATATTTGGAATGATTTAGTCAAACATTTCAAAACCTTAATCCTTTTCCACTTGAGAACAGACTGTTTCTGCCTTTCCCTGAACCAGCTCTCTCCCCCTGGTGATTTAGAACTGGGTACAACTACTGCGACGTTTAAAACGGCATCCTCCCTGAATTTTGCTCCTTGAGGAGACCACAGGCCTTGGCAAGGAGGCCCTCTGGAGCCCCTTCCATCCTGGGCTTCCAGAGACTGTGCTGGCGGGAGCAGACGGCATCCCAGGAGTGGGTCTGCCCGTTGGCCTGCCCTTCTCCCCAAGCTCCCCACCGGCTCGTCTCCCAGCGGACACGCTGACTGGGGGCTCCTTTATGGCAGAGTCGGGTGGGCCAACTGTGGGGCCCTCTGCTGAGTCTGGTCTCGCCCTTCTTAGAAGTCCTGGTCTGATTCTGCACCGCCTGGAAGCTGCAGCCGCGGGCAGCCGCGTTACACCGGAGACCCCGACCCGGCGCGTGTCCCCAGGAGGAGCGCACGGGCCCGGGATGGCACGGCCGCCCGTCCCGCGACTCCGGGCTCCGAGGGCCGAGGTCCCGGCCCGAGTGCACTGAACGGACGACTCTGGGCCACGAGGCTTGGGCTCCTGGGGCCGGCGCCCGCGGGCTCGGGCAGCGGAGTCACAGCCGGAGGGCGCACGGGACTGGTCCGGATGACTGCCGGCCTCCGCGACGGCGAGGGGGACAAATGCCGCGGCCGGGCAGGCGGGGCGGGACCGGGGCTCACACCCCTGAGGACAAGGTGCCTTGGGTCCCGGGGCACTCCCGAAGGGGCCCCGGAGGACAGGGCGTAGACTCAGCGGGCCCCCGCGCGTCCGTGGCCGCCTCAGCCCCCAGGCTCACGGCTAACGACCGACGGACCGGTCGGGGACAAAGGCCGACGGCCACACCCGCTCCGGTCCCGCGTTCGCGGGACAGCCTGGAGCCCCCGCCGCGTCCCGGGAAACACTGCCTGCCGCGCGCGCAGACGGCAGGCCCCTCGGTCCCTTTAAAACCGACCAACCACAGCCAGTTCCGCGGCGCCGCGCCTGCTCATTGGTCCTGCCCGGAGGGAGGTGGGAGCGTCAGCACACCAATCGGGGGCGGGCGGCCGGCAGGGGCGGAGCTCTGCTTAGCCCGCCCCCCGAGCGCGCGTGCGCGCGCTCAAGAACACGGCCCCCTGATTGGCGGCGGGAGCAGGGGCGGGGCCGGGCGCGAGGCGGACCCACGTCTGCGTGACAGTTGTCGCGGGGAGGGGAGGGCGAGCTAGGCGAGGGGGAGGGAGCGTAAATAGAGCGAAGGCGGCGCGGCGGCCCTGCCACCTCCGGGGCCACCCGCGAGGAGGCCCGCAGGGAGATGGAAGAAGATGAGCAAGAGCAGCGGCGCAGGAAGGTGGAGGCCGGGAGAGCGAAGGTAAACGGCAGCGCCGCCTCCTCCTGCTGCCTCGGCGTGGACTCCTGAGGGCGGGCTCCGGCGCCCGCCACCGCCCCTGTCGGGAGCCGATGTAGTCAGGCGGGCCCCGCCGCAGTCTTGCCCTGGCCACCGGCTCGGCTGGAAGCCGCCTCCTGGCCGCCGCCATCTTGAATCCGCCGCCCTCCGCCGGGCCCGCCCCCTCCGTGGCCTCAGCCAATCAGCGGCTGGGAACGCGCGGCGCCGCTTGGGGAGGCGGGGTGCGGGGCACGCCGGGACTTGCGGGGCTGCGCCTGCGCGCTGGAGGGCGGGGCGGGGCAAGGGTCTCGGCCGTGCGCTGTCACTGTCGCCCAGGGACCCCTCTACCCCGCCGTCTTCCCGCGCGTCCAGGGGTGCTGGCCGCCCTTCACCGAGGCGCGCTAACGGACGCGCTGGCTTAGAAACGCGCCGTCCCTGCCCGCCCGCCACATCCGACCCCGGAGAGAGTGAAGGGCTGGGCGCAGTCACCGCACCGCGCGTCCTGGTTCTCGGCCGGCCGGCGCGCGCCTGCGCGCACCTGCTCGCCTCATCCGAGCTCGGGTTCCTGGAGGACTCCCTGCAGTCCTGGGCTACACAGGCGCTCTCCCGAGGGCTCATCTCCGCTTCTATCGCTTTAGAACTACATGTAGAGTTTTGTTTTGTTTGCAATTCTGCCATTTTTTAAATATAAAAAAGTCTCCGAATGATGTTCCAGGAACACGTGAGTTGTTTACACTGCAGAACACCTCCCGCTGACGAACCGCTTCATATTCCCGGGGTCCAGAAGCTCCTGTTCTCTCCTAGTTGGCCTTAGGGCCCATGCGGACCGTCTTGAGCAGGGGAGGGTGGAGGAGCTCTGCCGGGGTTCCTGGGGAAGCTCCAGACGCCCGGACCGAGCTCCCGGGGTGTGTGTTACATCCCTGGGTTGTGGACGCCCCAGTGAACTCGGTGTGGTCCTGGAGTCACATGTCTCCAAGGATGCTTTTATTATCTCTTTTCTGCCGCAGTTTTCACGGAAACACCTTCTGTCACTCACTGTTTTGGGGGCATGTCGTGGGGATTAAAGCATATGCCGAATAGATCTGGGCTCTAAAGGCGGAGTGGAGCAAGCACCAGCCCCACCCCGTCTGGCTGTGGGAAGTCACTGCTCTGTCTAGGAATGAGTGAGAGCCTTTACAGTGCTGGTGGAGTATTAGGTAGAGCCAGGTGAAGTTGCTGTGTTTGAGGTCAGACGTCGTCAAACATGGGAATTTCCCATGGGTCAGCTAGTACGAGGGTATTCAGTGCCAGTTCTTCCCTGGAGGAAACCACAGGGCCACTGCACTAAAGAGACCATTCAGAGCACAGTGAGTGGTGTGAGGCAGTGACAGGGATAGCAGCATCCTATGGTAGAGTGACAGGCAGAGGACAGTGGCCTTGTTCAGGCTTCCTGTGAAGGTGAAACTTCTGACTGGGGTTTGAGGAGGGAGGCTGTGGCGGGCTTTTTTCTTCCTTTGCGTGTGTCTGGCACACAAACCTGTGTAGAGACGAAAATGAACTGGAGTTGAATACTTGCTGTGTGTGTTCTCCAAGCTTGGCTTGGTGTGTAAACGTAAGTAAATGTGCTTTCAAGGAGCGTTGAGGATGATGAGGAAGATTAACCTCGTTGCTAGAAGAAACAAGACGCCTCTTGTTGGGTGACCACAGGCCAGAGATGAGGACTGTGGTGCAGGAAGGGCACTCACAGGTGGTTAGATTGGCTGGAATGGGGCTGGTTTTGAAGGCAGTGTCTGTCCTTGAGAGACAGTTTTTCTCAAGTGGCCTTGTGTGTTTTTCCTGTGTCTGTGAAATTTGTGCATTTCTGTTATCATTTACACGAACGTTTGTTCAATGCATTTGCTTTTATGACCACAGTTGTCATTTGAAGGAACTGATATCCCCCTGTGAAAAGCTGATGTTAGATATCATACGTTTTGAGTAAGGTGTTAGTGGGAGATGTGTGTGAACAGAGTCTAAAACCCTCGGGTCTGAGGGACTGAACAGAGCTAGGTTGTGCCTTCTGATGGGCGACATTCTGTGGAGGTCCCTGGTGCTTTGGTGAGCTGTGTCATGAAAAATAGAACAGCTGATTCCATAAAGGAGGATGTTAGATTGACCTGGCTTAATTAATTTTTTGCTATTTCTGTACCTTGTCTCAGAATCTATGGCTAGGAAGTTTTGGCCAGGCTATATATTTCCTTGATTGGGGGAAATGGGGGCAAAAAGGGAGAGATTTAGCTTTTATGTAGTTTTAAACCTTAATCATGCTTTGATTAAGCTGTCTTTTAAAAAGTGTATTTTCTAAAATTTTATTTTCTAGCCAGGGACTAGAAAAGCTGTTCTGCTAATAGACTGTATTGCTTTCTTTTGTTTGTTTGTAAACGTAATTAACAGTCCTCATTATTAGACTCTTTGGGTGTAATTCTGAACTTAATTCCTAGCGTCAGAGATATTAATGAAGGCAGTATTTTTGGGCAGGGGTCTATTGGCTGACGTGAGTCTGGCCAGGTGTGGCTGAGTGGGCTGGGCCAGCCCTGGAGCCTCATGTGCCCCACGGGCTCGTTGACTTTGTGGTCCTGTTACTGTTTTCTCACTTATCTTTGCCTTTACTATTTCTCTACGTTTTTGCGCAGCTTGCTCACTTCCGACAGAGAAAAACAAAAGGTGACTGTGTGCATTCGAAGAAAAAGACGGCGAAGAGGAAGGGCTCGGCTGTCGATGCGCCTGTCCAGAAGGAGAGTCCGGTAGCTGCCGAGGGTGGACTCCAGGGAGGAGGGGATGTTTGCAAAAGCACATCGTGGGGTGGCACCCCTAATGGGGCAAGAGTGGTTCAGGTACATTTACTCAGTATTGTGTTTTCACATTTTGTTTATCTTCTAGTTATTGCTAGCGTAATTTACTAAGAGTGGTCTTTGGTCTGTTTTTGCCTATCAAAAGTGGGGAAAGAGGGTTTTATTCTGGTTTACAAGAGGAGAGTCTGTTTCTGTGGTTTTACTCCTAAGAAGTGTTTTATCTTTGTTACGTGGTGTTGAGAACTTTTGGGTTGACTGTTTGAGGGCGAGCATCAGTGTCGGTGCTTTGGCAGTGTGAGCTTTACAGGTGTGAGTTCCCTGGGTGTGGCTGTGTGCATCAGCTCTTCTGACAGGTGTTTCTTTGGACACTTAAAATATTCTTTCACCCGCTCTCAAATCCACTTGCTTGTCATTCTGTGTCCTTCACCTTCTTTCTGAACGTGGGACGAGGAGGGAACGTGTTGCAGAAATGGTGTCTTGCTGGAGGAGATGCCACCGTCTGCTGCTTGAGGCCTGCGAGCTGCTGGGGGCAGGTGTGGCAGGTGAAGTGGGCATGGGGAGTGCTGAGGGTGCTTGCCCTGCATGGCCTCCCTGGGGCCTCCGATTGCCCGTGGGTGGGCTCTCCTTGGGGCCTCTTCTTGTGTGCCTTATCAGTGAGGGGCCTTGAATTGTGAGTGTCTCTTGCTGTGTGCAACAGGGTAGGTGGAGGTTTAGGTGTTTGCTAGAATGAGCTGGAAAACTAGTGGCTGAGGGCAGTATTTGACTCAAAATCATGTGTCTGGCCTGCCTTATTGAAAAAGATGGAATCATTGCCAGTATGTAGGTTATGATATTCTACCTACAAATCTGGAATTTTGCTTCTTTTGAAAAATTGGAAGACCTAACCACAGTGCTCCCATGTTGCCTGGGGAGCAGCTGGCCAGAACTCTGGTGGCCGAGCCTTTGGACCAGCCTCTGTCCAGTTCACTCTCCCTTCACTCCTGCCACCTTGCAGGCCTGAGGTCGGATGTCAGTGCTGTTCATCGTGGTTATCGTCCTCTTGTTGTTTCTCCTGGGTAGAGCCCCAGTTCTCAGCAGCCATGTCTGCATCACAGCTGAGGAGATGAAAGCTACGTCGAGAGGCGAGTTTTACACCCAGTGGCTTTTCTCTGTATGTTTCCTGCCTAGCCTCTTGGAGGAGAAAAGCTCATATTGTATAATGAATATTTATTAATTTTTTATTTTTACTATAAAATTGGAGGTCTTTTTTAAATTAAAAGCTTTATATTTTTTAGCTTTTCACTTTGAAGTAATGTCAGACTTATAATAAAAAATTTGCGAAAATAGCACCGAGTTCCTGGATACCCTTCACTTAGCTTCCTGAAACGTTAACATCTTGTGTGATCATAGTGTAGTTATGGCGATCAGTTTCAGTTAACATTGAAACAGTGCTGTGAGCCAATCAGTAGCGCTTCTTCACATTTTCCCTATTGTCCCACCAAGGCCCTTTTTCTGGTCCAGGATTCTGTGTTGCATTTCAGTGCCATGTCACCTTAGTCTCCTCCAACCTGGGTCAGTTTGTCAGTCTTCTTTGTCTTGTATAAGTTTGACACTTTTGAAGAGTACTCGCTAGCTGTTTTGTAGAATACCTGCCAGTTGGGGTTTGTTCGATGCTTCCTCCTGATTGAAGTCAGGTCTTGCGTTCTGGCCAGAACACTGTGGCAGTGATGCACCCGCCTAGTGTGTGAGGTGTTGCTCTTTGATGCGTCTCACTGCTCGTGGTGCTGACTTGGATCGCTTGATTAAGGTGGGCTGCCGGATTCCTCTTGACAGAGAAGTTGCCAATGTTCCCTTTGTATTAATAGGTATATATATATATATTTTTTGTGTGTGTGAGAAAGATTGGCCCTAAGCTAACATCTGCCAATCCTCCTCTTTTTGCTGAGGAAGACTGGCCATGGGCTAACTAACATCCGTGCGCATCTTCCTCCACTTTATATGGGACGCCGCCACAGCATGGCTTGACAAGCGGTGTGTCAGTGCGTGCCCGGAATCCGAACCATCGAACCCCGGGCCACCACAGCGGAGCGCGCACTTAACCGCTTGCGCCACCGGGCCGGCCCCTTTTTTTTTTTTTTTTTAAAGATTTTATTTATTTATTTTTTCCCCCAAAGCCCCAGTAGATAGTCGTATGTCATAGCTGCACATCCTTCTAGTTGCTGTATGTGGGACTCAGCCTCAGGATGGAGGGAGAAGTGGTGCCTTGGTGTGCGCCCGGGATCCGAACCCGGGCCGCCAGCATCGGAGCGCGCGCACTTAACCACCAAGCCACGGGGCCGGCCCAGGCCCCTTAATATGTATATTGTGTGGAGATGTTTAGAGACCCTGCACATATCCTATTTCTTGTCCTACTTTCTTTCATTAATTTTAGCTTCCGTTGGTGATTCTTGCCTACCACAGTTATTACGGTGGTGTTGGCCAAATGATGACTTTCTGTCCTCATGATTCTGTCTACATGTTAATTGGCATTCTACTCTAAGGAGGAACTGTTGTTCTTCCCAGTTTATTTGTTTAGTCAATTACTTATATCAGTGTGGACTCACAGATGGTTATTCTATGGGTTTTTTGTTTTTGTGTGTGTGTGTGAGGAAGAGCAGTCCTGAGCTAACATCCATGCCAATCCTCTTTTTGCTGAGGAAGACTGGCCCTGGGCATCTATGCCCATCTTTCTCCACTTTATATGGGACGCTGCCACAGCATGGCTTGCCAGGCAGTGCATCAGTGCACTCCCAGGATCCAAACTGGCGAACCCCGGGCCGCTGCAGCAGAGCGTGCACACCCAACTCCTTGTGCCACCGGGCTGGCCCCTTTATGGGTTTGAATCCATCATATCAACCATATCAGTGTTTATGTTGTTGCTGAAATACACAGATTTGGCCACTGGGAGCACCTCTGAATTGGCGTCTGTGTCCTTTCAACATGTCCTCATCATTTTCTGGCACCTTACTTTCTGGCACCAAGGTTTTCCAGGCTTATTTTGTCCTTTCCCTGTCACAGCCCTGTAACCAGCCATTTCTTCAAGGAGCCCTGGTTCCTTTTAGTGAGAATGGTAATTAGAAACCAAGATCTGGGTGCTAGGTGTGCTTATTGCTAGTGGGATGTCATTGCTTCTAGGCTATTTCAACAGAGAGCTAGGAAATATATGTATATTTACACATCTGTATCTATTTTTTTGTCTGTTTATATGTATAATAAAAACCATGAGTTCACATGAATACCTTCAGTTCCAGTCCAACACCACAGAATTCATTCTAGCTTTTCCCTCTCCTTATTTTTAATTCCTTTTTCGAATAGTGAGAAACCTGGCTTCCTTATCTACAATATATTGGCTTATTTGGTCCATCTTAAAATACACACAAATTAGTTTTAGAATTGCTAACCCTCACCCCTGTGAAAAACAAATTTACTAACTAGAGTAGAATACTTGCATATAGTTCTTTTTGTCTTTATCATTCCAAAGTTTATTGTTTAGTGTTCCCAAGTTATTAGGTTAGTCCTTGCCTCTTCATTGTGGTCATTTTATTCATTTGTAACACAGTTTATTGTTTTATTGTTTGTATTCTGTTTTGGTTCTTCTCACATCCAGGCTGATTTTAGTTCATTATTTTTGAGTAAGTGAAACATTAATTACTGAGGTTCTGAGAATCAGAGCTGTACGCTGAGAATGTCGCTTCCTCCTCTTGCCACAACCTGTTCCCATTTCTCCCTTCTTCCCACTCCACTCACCCACCCCGTACATGAACAGTCTGTCTAGTTTTTGGTTTATCCTTCTGGTATTACTTTTCGCACAGAGGAGTAAATTCATGTTTGTTTTCTTATATCCCGTTTTTATATGAGAAGGAGCATGCTATGGATAATCTTTTGCACTTGGCTGTTTTCCTGCAACAGTGAACCTTGGAATCACTCCCTGTCAGTTCACAGAGATCTTGCTCCTTCATTTTTTGTGGCTGCATAGCACGTCAATTGGGTGGAGGCACTGTAGCATATTCAGTTGTGCCCCCTGAATGGGCATTCAGACTGTTTCCAGTAGTTTGCTTCACAAATGGTGCTGTGGTGAATGACCTTGTTCATATGTCTTTTTATATCATAGGAAGTATATTCTCAGGTTAAGTTCCTAGAAGTAGTCAAAAGGTGAGTGTATCTGTAGTTTTGTTGGCTGTTGCTAAGTCTACTCCATAAGGGACCTATTCATTTGCATTTCCATTAGCATAGTGTGATATTGCCTGCTCCCTGACAGCCTTGCCAACACAATGTCTTGTCATACTTTGAAATTTTTGGCATTCTGACCTATGGTTTCATTTCTCTTGGATCAATACCTAGGAGTGGTGTGGTTGGATCCTATGGTAGGTGTGTGTTTAACCTTTTAAAAATCTGCCAAAAATGTTTTCCAAAGTGGATGTAGCATTTTGGATCCCCACCAGCAGTACAAATTCAGCAATAAAAAGGAATGAGCATTCAAGACATACAAAGACATGGATGAACCTTAAATGCATACTGCTGAGTTGAAAGATGCCGGTCTGAAAGGCTACGTACCGTGTCATTCTGTTTATATAACATTCTGGAAAATGAAACTATAGAGACAGTCAACAGATCAGTAGTTGCCAGAGGTTGGTGGAGGGGAGGGTCGAATAAGGTAAAGCTTGGGATTTTTTAGGGCAATGAAACTGTTCTGTATGATGTAAATTTTAAAAAATCAAATTAAAAAATATTTGTATGCAAATTTAAAAAGATCGTTCAGGAGATTGGGGGATCCCAGAGTGGAATGCAGTCTGTAACAAAAGACCCTAACTGTTTTACAGATGTATAAAGCAACCTCACTGGAGGGGTTGAGGGGAAGGGGGCTGACCTGAGTAACTTTGGAATGAGTGGAGTTTGTAAGACTGAAGGCAAAGGGAACTGTGTATGAACACTGTACTCTAGTTGGGAAAGTTGTGTCCCAGGGGGTCAGGGTTAACAGTTCTGATACTGCTGTACATGTACACTGGAATTGAATAGTTAAGAGACGGATGGTAGGTGGTGGGAGCTAGGTTTCTACTGTCTGATGACGTGCTCATGCAGCTCTGCCTTGGCTGGCATTTGGGTTGAACTAAAGTTGAGAGTGTCTAAGGTGAGGGCCGTTGGGGGTCTGGGCTGTATGGGGAAGGCAGTAGGGAGAAGGTCAGCTGGAAGAAAGGGAGAGAGAAGATCGGGGGAGATTTAAAGGCAGTGTCTTAAGCTGCTCAAGCTGCCATAACAGAATACCACACAGACTGGGTGGCTTAAATAAGAGACATTTATTTTCTCTCAGTTCTGGAGGCTGGACGTCTGAGATCAAGGTGCTGTCAGGGTTGGTTTCTGGTGAGAGCTTTCTTCATGACTTGTAGATGCTGCCTTCTTGCTGTGTTCTCGCGTGGCCTCTTCTCTGTGTGTGCAGAGAGAGAGAGAGCTCTGGTGTCTTTTCCTTTTGTTATAAGGACGCTAGTTCTGTCAGATTAGAGTCCCACCCTATGCCCTCATTTAACCTTAATTACCATCTTCAGGACCTATCTTCAAATATAGTCACATGGGGGTTAGGGCTTCAACATATTAATTTCAAGGGACATAGTTCAGTCCATAATATTTTGCCCTCTGGCCCCCCAAATTCATGTCCTTGCATGCAAAATACATTCAGCCCACCCCAACAGCCCTAAAGGTCTTACCTCATTCCAGCATTTATTCCAAGTCCAAAGTCTCGTCTAAATATCATCTAATCAGAGATGGGTGAGACTTGAGGTAGGACTCATCCTGAGGCCAAATTCCTCTCCAGCTGTGAAGTTGTGAAGCCAAAATTATGTGCTTCCGAAATACTGCGGTAGGACAGGCATAGGATACACAATCCCATTTCAAAAGGGAGAAATGGAAAAGAAGAAAGGGATGACAGGTCCCTGGCAAGTCCAGAACCTAGTAGACAAAATCTGTTTGATTTTAAGGCTCAAGAATACTCGTCTTTGGCTGGATGCTCTGCCCTCTGGGCCCATGAGGCCGCAGCATCACCCCCCTGGCCCTGGGCTGAGGCATTCTGGCGTGCTGAAATTGAGGAGGGGACCCCACCCTCTGACACTGAGGAGGAAACAGCCTTGTCCCCTGGGCCTGTGGTGGGAGTGGCAGCCTGATGACCTCTGGTCATTCTTCCCTTTTCTTGAAGGATAACACACGTTCATGGCCAAATAGCTCTATTGTCCTGTCCTGTGGAGTCTCAGAAGTCCGAAAGCCTTTCTTTATTTCATCCTGTCTCTGTTCCCTTTGGTGCAGACTGGTGGTGTCTCTGCTGATGTAATCCCATCTCCATTACTGGATCTGCTGAGATGGCTGATTAACTCCATGAGTGATGTCTTTGAAACGACTGTCCAGCCACACCCCTGGTGTTCTCTCCAGAACAAGCTTTCACCTTTTTTGCATTATGGATAGGCCAAGAATTTTCGAAATCTTCAAATTCTGGTTTCTTTTTTGCTTAACAATTCCTTTAATGTATCTCTTTTCTCTCACATTTTACTATATGCAGGGAGGAGAAGCAGGCTGCACCATCAACACTTTGGCTAGAAATTGCAGCTAGATAGTCAGTTTCATTGCTCTCAAGTTCTGCCTTCCACAAAACACTAGAACACAATTCAGCCAAGCTCTTTGCCGCGTTATTACACAGATTGCGTTTCCTCCAGCTTCCAATAGCATGTTCCTTGTTTACATCTGAGGCCTCACTAGAATCAGCTTTAACATTCATATTTTTGCTGATCATCCCTTCGTGGAAATCTTTTTTAATATGCACCTCAAAACGCTTCCAGCCTGTACCCATCATCCGGTTGCAAAGCTGTTTCCACGTTTTTAGGTATTTATTACAGCAGCACCCCACTCTCGGTACCCAAATCTGTGTTAGTCTGCTTGACTGCCATAACAGAGTACCTCAGACTGCGTGGCTCTTTTCTCGTGCTTCTGGAGGCTGGACGTCTGAGATCAAGGTGCTGGCAGGGTTGGTTTCTGGTGCGAGCTCTTTTCCTGGCTTGCACACGGCCGCTGTCTCAGTGTGTCCCCACGTGAGAGAGAGAGTGCCCTGGTGTCTCTTCCTCTTCTTGTAATGCCACGGTCCTATTGTATCAGGTCCCACCCTTAGGGCTTCATTTAACCTTAATCTTCTCCTTGAAGGCCCTGTCTCCGAGTGCAGGGGGTGGTGTGTGGGGGGTGTTAGGGCTTCAACGTGGGTACTTTGGAGTCACAATTTGACCATAACAGGCACCCAGTAGGAGGGAAGATGGGATCCATCTGACGGTTGTTTTTAGAGAAAGGCTGTTGAAGTTCGATTTGACAGGTGGCAGGATGGAGTGGACGGGCCTCCCAAGTTCAGAGAGTGTAAGCGAAATAATTACCTTTACCTTTTGAAAGGACAGGATGTATTTGCTCGTAGATCAGAATCAGCTTGAAATTCAGAAGGCTTAGGCTAGAATAACTGAACTGGAGGAAGAGCTTCTGAGCAAGCCGGATGCCATTGGCAGACTTAGTTTGAAGGTGGAGGCACCTCGGGCTCGGCTGGTTTGGTGCCCTGGCGTTCCCTGTCAGCAGGTTCATTGTTAACTTGCCAACATCTTGTTTATTTCAAAGGAAATGTCGTGTTTAATGTAAAGTTCCAAGGCTAGGCCTTACCTTGTAAATCATGGATTCATTTTGATGTATCTGAGCTGATGCCTTTCCTTCGTCTGGCTGGGGAGCGATTTATGTGCCTGTTTTAAAGCCTGGGGTGAGATAAGGGTACCTGCTGGAGCGGGTGGATCAGAAAAGAAGGATTTGAGGGTGGAGCGTTGAGAAGAGACCCAGCAGCAATACTGGTTGGGCTTCCTTGGCTGTCTAGATGTACAGGCCGTCGGTCCTGGAGGCTCCTGTGTGCTGAGGGAGTTCAGCCGGGGAGGGCTGGGTAGAGCGTGGGTTGTGGTGTTTGCTGGGTAGTCTTGCCAGTGCCAGCCATGCTCCCATGGTGGCAGTGACACCTGGTGAAGGACCCTGTGCCACTCAGAGTCCTCTGCCTATAGCTTCATTTCATTTTTGGTGGAGACAATGATTGCTATGATCTAGTTTTCTCAAATTAGGGAAGTTCAGTTAATTCTGAGTTATTTAAACTGTTTCAGGGGCTGGAGGGGAGCAGTGGTGCAGAGTTGGTGTGGGGAGGCAGGAAGGGGGCCGGGAGGGCCCGAGGCTATAGTTCTGGATGTTGCTATAAATGCTCTTCTCTGGCCCTTCCCCTCTTAGCTGGAAGACCCCGATGGAGAGAGGACAGGGGACATGGAGCAGCCGCAGCGGGCACTGGATGGTGACGGTCTGGAACAGCCTGGGGTCATCACAAAGGTATTCTTCTTCCAGGTTCTTTGTTAAGGTGTGTTCCTTGTCAGAGGATTTCTTCCTGTTGTGGTAGAAATCCAAACCAGAGAGAAGACTCAGTCTCTGAAGGGCCCTCTCTCCTTAAAAGTGGAAACCAGGAGTAAAGAAGGCTGGAGGCAGAACTTACCCGGCAGGCCTCACTTCCTTAGTGCCCCTGCATGGAAGATCTCTCTTCAGACCCCTCTGACTGAGCCCAAATCTGCCTTCCTGTGACCTTTGATCTTTTCTCCTGCATGTTGCAGAGAGAAGGTTGCCCTCCGTGCGTTGAGGATAGCTGTCGTGTGACTTTCTCCTGTCAAGTGATTGCCCTCGTCCCTCACGTGGTCATGTGTGGTGGGTTCCAGCCTGGAGCTGTAACATGGAGGGCAGGCTTGGGGTCAGTCTTAATGTCCCAGTTGCTGCCACAATGCCCGGTATGAAGTCCATGTGTGTTGAATTGATTACTTTTATTTAATCGATTTGGTTTTTGTTAGCATTTGGAAGGAAATTTATTAGATATTGAATTGACTAATTTCAAAGTGTTAGAAGTCTATATTTTAGACATTTGATTCTAGCTGGACTCAGGTCACACTGCTTTAGGCAGTGAGCAAGTTTGGTCTTTAATCTGAGTTATTGCAGGAGAGATCTATATCATAGGCAGGGCCTGGAAAAATGGTCTCTGGTGGGGTCCATAAAACCTTATTATACTTGTTATAAACGACTGTGACGTGTGGCATATGTATAGAAAAGTGCAAAGTACGTAAAACTTACATACAGCCTAACAAATGAGCACACAGTAAACACCACTTGATCCCTTTGCAGGTAAGAAACAGTACCATGCTGGACCTGGATTCTTCCTCTTGCTCTCCTTCCCCCACCCCCCAGCCTCAAAGTCAACACTGTCCTGATTTCTGTGGCGTTTATGCTTTGGAAGTTTGTGTGAATAGATCAGACATGATTCTGGTCTTTTTCTATCTTTTACCTTCCAATATCTTTGCATCTTATGTTTTAGATATATATCTGGTAAACAGCATAGAGTTGGTTTTTTTTTTTTTTTTTGTGAGGAAGATCGGCCCCAAGCTAGCATCCATGCCAATCCTCCTCTTTTTGCTGAGGAAGACTGGCCCTGGGCTAACATCTGTGCCCATCTTCCTCCACTTTATATGGGACGCCGCCAAAGCATGGCCTGACAAGCAGTGCATCAGTGTGCGCCTGGGATCTGAACCCGGGCCGTCAGCAGTAGAGCGCGTGCACTTAACTGCTATGCCACGGGGCCAGCCCAAGAGTTGATTTTTTAAAATTATTCGGACGGTCTTTGTCTTTTTAGTAGATAATCTAGTTCATTTACATTTCATGTAATCACTGATGTATTTGAGCTTACATCTATCATTTAATTTGGGCTTTCTGTTTGTCCCACTGTTTTGTTTCTTTTTTCCTCCTTTTTACCTTCTTTGGATTATTTTTTGTAGGAGATTTTTTAAAATTCTCTCTTTACCCATTTTGAAGTTATAATAGACTCAGTTTCCATTCTTTTAGCAGTGAGCTTATTAAATCCTACATTTACGCTTAAATTACGTAAGTCTAAATTTAATCAGCACCTTCACTTTCCTCTTGGATAGTACAAGGACTGTAGAATGCTTAAACTCTGTTTATACCTCCATGTACGTTTTTGTCATGGTTTTTAAAAATTTTAAAATACAGTTAACATAAGATTTACCATCTTAATAATTATTATTTTTTTGGTGAGGAAGATTGGCCCTGAGCTAACATCTGTGCCAGTCTTCCTCTGTTTTGTATGTGGGTCACCACTACAGCATGGCTTGATGAGCGGTGCATAGGTCTGCGCCTGGGATCTGAACCTGTGAACCCCAGGCCGCTGAAGTGGAGTGCGTGAACTTAACCAATATGCCACTAGGCTGGCCCCATCTTAACTATTTTTAAGTGCACAGTTCAGTTGTATTAAATACATTCATAATGTTGTGCGACCATCACCACCGTCCATCTCCATAGCTCTTTTCATCTTGTAAAACTGACACTCTGTATCCTTTAAACAGTAACTCCCCATTCCCCCCTTCTCCCAGCCCCTGGCACCCACCATTGCACTTTTTGTCTCTGATTTTGACTATTCTAAGTACCTCATATTAGTGGAATCATATAATTGTCTTTTTTTTTTTTTTTTTGGTGAGGAGATCAGCCTTGTGCTAACATCTGCCAATCTTCTTTTTTTTTTTTTTTTTTTGCCAAGGCAGACTGGCCCTGGGTTAACATCCGTGCCTATCTTCCTCCACTTTATATGGGACACCGCCACAGCATGGCTTGCCAAGCAGTGCATCAGTGCGTGCCCGGGATCCGAACCGGCAAACCCCAGGCCACCGCAGCGGAGCACACGCACCTGACCGCTTGTGCCACCGGACAGGCCCCTAGTTGTCTTTTTTTGACTGACTTATTTGACTTAGCATAGGGTCCTCAAAGTTTACTCATGTTGTAGCATATGTCAGAATTTCCTTCCTGTTTAAGGCTGAATAATATTCCATTGTATGGATAGACCACATTTTGTGTATTCATTGATCTGTCGATGTACACTTGGTTTGCTTCCACATTTTAGCTATTGTGAGTATTGCTGCTGTGAACATGGGTGAACATGGGTGTACAAATATCTCTTTGAGTCCCTGCTTTCAGTTCTTTTGGGTATATATCCAGAAGTGGAATTACTGGATCATATGGTAATTCTATTAATTTTTTGAGGAACTGCCACGCTGTTTTCCACAGTGGCTGCACCATTTTACATTCCCACCAACAGTGCACAAGGGTTCCAGTTTCTCCGCATCCTTGCTAACACTTGTTGTTTTCTGTTTTTTTTTCAGTAGCCATCCTAATGAGTGTAAAGTGGTTGTTTTATTTTTGTTTTTAAATAATTTTTAACTCTACAGTCCATCCATCTATACAGCTATTTGTTTATTGCTTTAAATAAACTTAATTTTGGACTAATTTAGAAAAGTTGCAGAGATAGTTCAGACAGTTCTGTATGCCCCTCACTCCACTTTCCTACTGTTAACATCTTGTATACCACAGCACTTTTGTCAAAGCATATTTGGATTTTACCAGCCTTTCCTCTAATTGCTTTTTTTTTGAGGAAGATTTGTCCCGAGCTAACGTCCGCTGCCAGTCTTCCTCTCTTTTGTATGTGGATCGCCACCACAGCATGGCCGCTGACAAGTGGCATAGGTCTGCGTCTGGGATGTGAACCCAGGCCCCAAAGTGGGGTGCGCTGAGCTTACCCACTGGGTCACGGGGCTGGCCCTGGTCTGCTTTTTCTATCTGGGATCCCATCCAAGATTCCATGTTGCATTTCATGATCTTGTCTCCTTACCCTCCTCAGGTCTTTGATGGTTTCTCCCTTTTCCTTATTTTTGGATGACCATGACAGTTTTGAACAGTACTGGTCAGTTATAGACCTTCCCTCAGTTTGGGTTTGTCTTATGTTTTCTCATTATTAGACTCAGGTTAGGGATTTCTGGGAATGACACCACGGAGGGATGTGCCCTTTTTATCACGTCGTATCAGGTAGTGTCTGCCAGTTTCACCTGTCAAAGTACAGTTTTCTCCCTTTGCAGACTCTGTTCTTTGGAAGCGAGTCACTAAGCCCAGCCCACACTCAAGGGAGGGAGATGAAGGGCCGCCTCCTTGGGGGAGCAGTAGCCACACGTTGTATGTGGACTTCTTCTGTAAGGAAGATTTCTCCCTTCTCCCCCATTAATTAGTTTATTAACTATGCGTTTATGTTGGTATGGACTCATGTCTATTTATGTTATACTTTGAGTTATAGCCCCAAACTGCCTTATTTATGCTGTTGCTCAAGTGTTGCAGCTCTGCCACTGGGAGCTCTTTCAGGTGGGCTCCCCTGTCCCGTTGACACACCTGTCCTTTGTTTTGTAAGCACATCCTGGCTTTCTGGCACTACGCGGTCCCCCAGGCTCATTTTGTACTTTCCCTGCCTCAGTTCTAGAATCATCCATTTCCCCAAGGAGCCCTGGTATCTTTTGTTGGGTGGTGGTATTTAGAAACCAAGATCTGGGCACTGGGTGTGCTTGCTGCTTCTAGGCCCCAGTGGACAGAGCCGGGGAAGCCGTGTACGGATGCTCGTTCACGTGCCGGCATCTGTCTGTACTTACTTCTGCATGCGTCTGTCTGTATACACGTGTTAAAATAACCTTGAGTGCAGACTGATGTCTCAGACTCTAAGCCAGCACTCAGGGGTCATTACCGAGCAGTCCCACTCCCCCACGCCCCCCCGTGTGTCCATTTTGCAGTCAGCCTCTCCTGCTTCCCCAGCCTCTGCTGACGTGTGTTCCATGGTTTTGCCTTTTCCAGAATGTGGTACAGATGGAATCTTGGAGTACATAGCCCTTTCGGGTCTGACTTTTTGAGTCACATAGCAAAGCGAATGTAGGATTCACGTGAGTTGTTTCCTGCTCAGCCCTCGCCCTGTCACTGTGCCATTGCGTGGGTGCCAGTTTGTCGATCACTCGCCTGCTGAAGGACAGCTTCCTTGCTTCCAGGTTTTTTGTGCTTATGAGTACGGGGTTTGGTTTTTAGTGGTCAATTTTTCTTGTTTAGGTTTAGTGTTGTATTTCCCATCTTCTTTGTCCTTTATTCCTTTTCAGATTTTTCATGTGGGGCCACCTTTCTTCTGCTTCAAGAACACGCTTTAGTGTTTCCTGTAGCAAGACCCTTCTTCTGCCAAGTGTTCCCGGTTTTTATTTTCCTGGCTGTATTTTTGTTTTCATTTCCCCTTCGTTCTTGAAAGAGAGTCTTACTGGTGTAGACGTTCAGATTGGCGTTTGTATCTCGCGTGCTGGGAGTCTCATCCTGCTCTTCTCTGGCTTCGTGCTGGCTGCTGGTCCGCCGTTCTTTGGCCTGGCTGCTTTGAGGACTTTCCATGCTTGGTGTTCTACAGTTGTACTTCACTGTGTCTAGGTGTGGATTCC